ATTCAATGATGTAGATGGACTGTACATCTACACATTTGAAGCAGAGAGAAAGGAAACTGTCCAGCTTGTAGCCAGCTTCCACAAAATATTCAGTTTTCTCCATTAGCAAGACTACAGGAGGTTTTGGATTATCTAATCTATAGTGCTTCTCTACAGATGAAATCTTCAGCCATCACAGCAACATTACAGGGAAAAAACAGAACCCTTTACTTACAGTCAGTAACCTCTATTGAAGAATGAACAAGGCCAAATCTCTCCAAGACACTGAAAGAATTGGGACTTGTTGGTGGACAAGAACTGACAGTTGCTAATGTCACCACACCACAGACAGTACTATTCAAACTTCATTTTACTTAAGGGAAATAAATCTGCACATAATATAAAATGTATGAAAATACTATACTATGTGGATGCTAAGAAAATTGTTTTTTAGCATTAGTATTGCTGAAATTTGACATTTTTTTCTTTTTAAACGTAATGAGCCCCTCTTTTTTTTTTTAATAACTTTCCCTTGAAGATAGAATTTGGGGTTGGTGCTTGTAAGCATTTTCATTAATAATATGGGAAATGATGCTTAGAGATTATGAGCAAAAAAATGTATAGCTTTTAGAGGAGACAAATACCCTCTGGTGTGTGGATTTTGTTATTATGGTCAAAGAGTGCTCAGTTTTCAGTTGAGCACCCACATATACAAAAGATGTCCCTTTAAAGAAAATAAGAAAATTAAGTTCTAAATAACATTAAATGTTACAACTTGACATCTGGTGCATATTGAACATAGTCTGTATCTTGCTTGTTTTAATATTCATTTAATCGTGGCTGTTCAAATGAATATTAACTTTTGCAAAGGTTATCTTGCCCATGATAATTTGTAAATGGTGTTACGATCTGAATACCTGTGCATGGAAATGAGAAATATTTTCATGTGTTTATTTGAGATGCCATAGAGGCCAGTATATGCAACATTAAAGTCAAGACATGGTTGTTTAAAAAAATAATAATAATATATATATATATATATATATGCAAATCAGATCCAGCTATATATTAAAAAGATCAGCCTTACACCCTAACCAGTTTGGCTCAGTGGATAGAGCATCGGCCTGAGGACTGAAAGGTTCCAGGTTCGTTTCCAGTCAAGGGCATGTACTTGGTTGTGGGCACATCTCCAGTAGGAGGCAGCTGATTGATGTTTCTCTCTCATCAATGTTTCTAACTCTCTTCTTACTTCCTCTCTGTAAAAACATAATCAATAAAATATATTAATAAAATAAAATAGCTCCAATTAAAAAAAAAAAAAAAGATCAGCCCTAACAGGTTTGGCTCAGAATCTAAAGCATCAGCCTGCGGACCAAAGGGCCCCAGGTTCAATTCTAGTCAAGGGCACATTCCAAAAATTGCATGATAATATCAATAGAAGCAGAAAACGCATTCAACAAAATCCAACACCCATTTTTGATAAAAATTCTCAGCTAAGTTGATAGAGGGAATATATCTCACCATGATAAAGGCCATATATGACAAATCTATAGCAAATATCATACTTAACGTGCAAAAACCAAAACCTTTTCTCCTAAATACAGGAACAAGACAGGGATGGCCACTTTTACCACTCTTATACACATAGTACTGGAAGTCCTAGCACAGAGATCAGACAAGAAGAAGAAATAAAAGGAATCCAGCCCTAGCTGGTTTGGCTCAGTGGATAGAGCAGCAGCCTGTGACTGGGGGGTCCTGGGTTTAATTCTGGTGAAGGGCACATGCCTGGATTGTGAGCTCAATCCCCAGTAGGGGTCTTGCAAGAGGCAGCCAACCAATGATTTGCTCTCATCTTTGAGGTTTCTATCTCTCTATCCCTCTCCCTTTCTCTCTATAATCAATAAAAATATATTAAAAACAAAAAGGCATCTAAATTGGAAAGCAGGAAGTAAAATGCTCATATTGGTAGATGACATGATATTGTACACAGAAAACTCTAAAGACTCCACCAAATAACTAATAGATTTAATAAATGAATTTGGCAATATTATTAGCAGGATACAAAATCTACACCCAAAAATCAATGGTTTTTTTTATACACCAATGATGAATTCTCAGAAAGAGAAACTAAACAATCCCATTTACCATTGCAACAAAAAAAAATTAAGATACTTAAGAATAAACTTAACCAAGGAGGTAAAAGACTTGCACTTGGAAAACTAAAGGACACTGACTAAAGAGATAGAAAAATCTATAAACAAGTATAAGAATATACTATGTTCATGGGTTGATAGAATCAAAATCATTAAAATGTTCATACGGCTGAAACCAGTTTGGCTCAGTGGTAGAGCGTCGATCTGCGGACTGAAGGGTCCGGGGTTCGATTCCGGTCGGAGGCATATACGTTGGTTGCAGGCACATCCCCGATAGGGGGTGTGCAGGAGGCAGCTGGTCTATGTTTCTCTCTCATCGACGTTTCTAGCTCTCTGTCTCTCTCCCTTCCTCTCTGTAAAAATCAATAAAATATATTAAAAATAAATAAATAAAATGTTCATACGACCCAAGGCTATCTACATATTCAATGTGATTCCTATTCAAATACCAATAGCATATTTCACAGATCTAGAACAAACACTCCAAAAATTTATATGGAACCAAAAAAGACCCCGAAGGCTGTAGCATTCTTGAAAAGAAGAGCAAAGTTGGAGGACTCATAATACCAGATTCCAGTTATACTACAAAGCCACCATAATCAAAACAGCCTGGTACTAGCATAAGGACAGGCATATAGGTCAATGGAACAGAACAGATATCCAGAAATTGACCTGTAAGTCATTACGATCAATTAATACTTCACAAAGGAGGCAAGAGCATACAATGGAGTCAAGACAGTCTCTTCAATAAATGGTGCTGGGAAAATTGGACAGATACATGCAAAAAAATGAAACCAAACCACCAAATTCCACCATATACAAGAATAAACTCAAAATGGATAAAAGACTTAAATGTAAGTTGTAAAACCATAAAATCCTAAAAAAAACAAAAAACAAAAAAAACCATAGACAGCAAAATCTCAGACATCTTACAGATACACCTCCTAGGGCAAATGAACATAAGGAGAAAATAAACAAATGGAACTGCATCCAAATGAAAAGCTTCCACACAGCAAAAGAAACCATCAACAACAAAAATGGGAGCCCACTGTATGAGAGAACATATCTGGCAATGATATATCTGATAAAGGGTTAATATCCAAAATATATAAGGAACTCATACAATTTAACAAAAGGAAGGCAAACAAAAAATGAGCAAAGATCCTAAATAGATATTTCTCCAAAGTGAACATAAGACAGCCAAGAAACATATGAGAAAAATGTTCAAAGTCACTGATTATCAGAGAGATGCAAATTAAAATTAAAGTGAGGTATAACTCACATTCTCACAACTGTCAGAATGGCTATATCAACAAATCAACAAATGATGTAGAAGAAATGAAAAACTATAGGAATGCAGACTGGTGCAGCCATTATGGAAAACAGTATGGAGTTTCCTCAAAAAATTAAAAATGGAACTGCCATTTTACTCTGTGATCTCATTTCTTGGAATATATCCTAAGAGACCCAAACACCAATCAGAATGAAGGTATGCATCCCTATGTTTGTAGAAGCACAATTTACAATAGCTAAGACCTGTAAACAGCCCAAATGTCCATCAGAAGATAAATGGATGAAAATATGTGGTAACATGCCAAAAAAGAATCTATAAGAAATAGGAAGTCTGAACAGATCAATAACAAATAGACTGCACAGGTAAAAATCTCCCAACCAAAAAAAGTCCAGGACCAGATGGCTTCACATATAAAATTCTACCAAACATTCAAACAATACCAATTCTTAAACTCTTCCAAAAAAAGAAAAAAGAAACACTTCCAAATTCACTTTATGAGGCTATTATCACTGATACCAAGCCAAAGATATCACTAGAAAACTATAGGCCAATACAAATATAGATGTAAAAATACTCAATGAAAGACTAGAAAACCAAATTCAACAGCTCATTAAAAGTATTACACAAGATGACCAAGTCAGATGCATCCCTTGAATGCAAAATTGGTTCAGCATAGCCAAACCAATTTCTCTGATATTAACTGGTACAGCCACTGTGGAAAACAGTATGGTGGTTCCTTGCCCTGGCCAGCATGTTCAATAGTCATAGCAATAGGCTGAGCACCGAAGGGTCACAAGTTCTATTTCAGGTCAAGGGCACGAACCTGAATAGGGTTCACTCCCTGCCCCACATCGGGGTACACGTGGAAGGTAGCCAGTAGTAACCAGTAGATATGTCTTTCTCACATCGATGTTTCTCTCTCTCTCTCTCTCTCTCTCTCTCTCTCCCCACCTTCCTTGCATCCTCTCTAAAAAATAAATGGAAAAGAATAAGTAATTACCATATGACCCAGCAATTCTACCCTGGATATATATCCAAAAGAATTAAAATCAGAAACTTATGGAAAGCTGTATACCAATGACAATAGCATTATTCACAACAATTGAAAGGTAGAAACAACTCAAATGTCCAGCAGCAAAAATGCTAAGAGTTGTCAGCAACCACTAGAAGATAAGAGAAAAAGCATGATTCTGCTGACAACTTGACTTTGAATTTCTAAGCCTTCAGAACCGTGAGGAAATAAATTCCTGCTGTCTTAAGCCACTCGGTCTGCGTGTACTTTGTTATGAGAGCCCTAGGAAATTAATACCCTGGCCAATGTAGTACTTGAATTCATAATCCCAAACTGCTTTTCAAATTTCAATTTAAAATTTCATCACCAAGACAATTCCCTTTTAACAGATCTTTGACCACATGCGTCATTTAATTTAGTACAAAAATTTACATGTGGTACAGATTTCATTTCCATTTATATTGTTATAGTGACAAAGATTGTTTCCAGTATTTTAGATAAGATCTTAAAGATATCAATTGAAACACTGTATATTTTTCCCAAATTATAGATTCAAACATACCTGAGTTTTTCTAAGGCACTTTCTCGTTCACTGCGAAGTTTAGCTAAATATGTGTTCTCAGCTTTAAATTTTTCTATTTCCATTTCCAATTCAATGACTTTCTCTCTCAAAACTTCAGATCGAGCACTGTCACCTAGAAAATAGGCCATGAATAGTGAATTTCACAAGAGGTCTTCAGCAGCAAAAACATTAGCTAGCTATTAATACTAAGAGCCAAAAATATGGTAAACACCTCCATTAAAATGCATTAGAAATATTTCAAGTAAAATTTTTCTAATTTTTTATTGGCCTAACCTTCCAGATGAAACCAATCTAAATTTAAGAATCAAATTATTCTACCTCAAGAGCTTCAATCTGGCAATGAATTAACATTACATTTAGAAGGAAACCATTGGAATAATTTTTTTAAAGGCCAGTATATAGAAATAGCTTAAGAACACAAGTCACAAAATATCTAAAGTACTAATTGATACCAAAAAGCAAAGCTGGTTATCACTAACTGATACCACTAATCAAAGAAATACAAATTAAGTCTTTTGGGTTGTTTATCCTCAACTGAGGATATTTTCCATTGATTTTTAGAGAGAATGGAAGGGAGGGTGAGAGACAGAGAGAGGAAAACATTGATGTGAGAGAGACACATCAATTATTTGCCTGTCGCACGTGCCCCAACCAGGGCCAAGGATCGAGCCTGCAACGAAGATACATGCTCTTGACCAGAATTGAACCTGGGACCCTTCAGCCCAAGGCATACTGACTATCTACTGAGCTAAACTGGCTAGGGCAAGACTTTTTTTTCAATATCAATTTGCTATTTAAGAGAGTAAAATAGCCAATGCTTCTCCCTTTCAACTGCTTTTTTTGAAAACTAAACTTGATTTCTATCACAAAACTAAAACACACATATCTACCCTTTGACCCTACTTCTAAAAATCTAATTAAAAAACTTGTAAAATCTTACAGCTTTGCGCAAAGATATGCATTGCAGTGGTATTTCTACTAATAAAAAAGAATTTGTCTAACATTAAGAAAATTACTGACCTGGTTGGTTTGGCTCAATGGATAGAACGTCGGCCTATGGACTGAAGAGTCCTGGGTTCGATTCCGGTCAAGGGCACATGCCCAGGTTGTGGGCTTAATCCCCAGTAGGGGACATGCAGGAGGCAGCCAAACAATGGTTCTCTCTCATCACTGATGTTTCTCTCTCTCTCTCTCCCTCTTCCTTCCTCTCTGAAGTCAATAAAAATATATTTTTTAAAATTACTGAATAAAATTGTTACATTCATGTAATGCTATGCAATCATTTTTTAAGTACAGAGTGTTAATGGTAGAGCAAATACATGTAGTATACTTGGTCAAAATGGATGAGGCATGTTATATAAAATATGTCTCTATAATATTTAAAATACATAGGAAAAATGACTGAAAGAAAATATCCCAAAATGATATCACTGGGCAGTTCAGTTACCTTTAGGCAGTTCAGTTATAAACATTTTTGCTTCTATGCTGTTTAATCTTCCAAACTTTTTGCAAGAAGTGCTACTTTTAAATTCAGAGTATTTTTTAAAATAACTTGCTATAATTTACATTTTAAAGCATCTATGCTTTGCAAGGCATTCAGAGTTTATAATATAACATGATATAATAGAAAAGCTTTTCAATATAGGTTTAAAAAGTCCATCACATCAATTGAATACTATACAGCCATTAAAAAGTCCATCACATCAATTGAATACTATACAGCCATTAAATGGATGTATGTGTGTGTTAAAACCATCTTCAAAATATATTATAAGATGAAGAATGTTATTTTTAGTCATGTTTCATTTGTATATAAAGGAAATTACACTCACACGTTTTCATATGCATGGCATGTTTTTAGCATATACAAATGAAATGGGGATGTGGGCGTTTCTAGGAAAGGGAACTAGGAGCCCAGACCTGGGGAAATAAAGAAACTTGGATTATACTGTATTTCTTCTTAGTCATGTTTGGCATGTGAATGCATGAGGCAGTAAGAAAAAAAAAATTTTTTTTTTTACAAATTTGTTCAAATTTGATTGGTTTTGTGGATCTAAATAATGTAGTGGTCATTAGTATGAGAGGTTTGAATGAATTGTGGTTTCAGATTTTTCAAATTTAAGCACGCATCTCATTCTCAAGGCTTTAAAATTAATTGCTTTATTATAAAATGATATATTTTTTATATCATTAAAATATATATAAAAAATATATTTTTAAAATTACTGAATAAAATTGTTACATTCATGAGTCATTAAAAAAAAGTGTAAAAAAGAAAGTGTGCACAAAGTTTACTCCACAATAACACAAACCATATATTGAGTACTCCCTGGTTATAAAAGAAACTCAAATGTTATCTCACTTTATAATAAAGCAATTAATTTTAAAGCCTTGAGAATGAGATGCATGCTTAAATTTGAAAAATCTGAAACCACAATTCATCCAAACCTCTCATACTAATGACCACTACATTATTTAGATCCACAAAACCAATCAAATTTGAACAAATCACCTATCATTAGACTTTATTAAGCAACCAGAAAAGTTAGGATTTTAAGCATCCGGACAACATACTGATAAAATAAATTTTAAACTTGTAACATTCTGCTACATATTTTATAATGCTCTGACTTACCAGAGGGTTGCTCTTGAATGTTTAACTTGGGTTCATTTCCCAGGTGTGACTCTGACTTTGATTTTGGTTTTGGTTTCAAAGAAGGGAAGAATTTCATCATCAGATCGGATGGAGGAGGAGGACTTGTGCCTCTGCTGAATTGGCTCAAGTCTTCCTTCTTGACTGGTGCAACTTTCCTTTTTACTGTTTTGTCCATTTTACATATCTCACTCTTATTAGGGTAGATTGTCTGGGGAGTTCCATCAATGGCTTCATTCCCAAGCATAATGTCATTTTTAAATGAATTCTCTTCAAGATCTGTCCAAGTTCTTTCATCATCAAAGTCGATTTTACTCACACTTACAGATGAGGGTCTTCTTGAGGATTCAGAACTTTTATTTTTAAAGCTTTCTGTTATGATGGACTCATCACCACTATAATCTTTATCAGACAAATCCAAATCCACATCTCTCCTTTTATCTTCTTCTTGAGTCCCCGTGTTCCTGAAAGGTCCCTTACCTTCACAGACTTGTGGACTATCTTCTCTGCTTCTCAAACCCCTTTCACTATCCTCAGTTGATGATTTTATAATGCCCAGTTGTTCCTCAGAGTCTGTGCTACTGTCAGTGTTCATTATATCATCATTGCTTGCATTCCATCTCCCCTGATTTTCCGAAGTGCTCATTTGGAACACCTTCTTACTGACTTTACAAGACGGTGTCCCCAATCCCTCAGGTAAAAACACTGAATTAATTTCTTTGGGTGCAACCTCACACTCACCCTCATTTTCACATTCAATACGGACTAGATGCTCATTTTTGTTACACTGACTAATGAGACCCAGTGACATCATTTTTTGCTGCTGCACAGCTTTGACAGGAGTAGAAGACAGCCGCTGATCTTTGCAGTTCTGTTGGTCCCTCTCTAAGATCTTCAATACAAATGAGGAATTGCTGGAAAATGATATTTCATCAGCTGCTTGCTCTAAAAACAAAAATTCATCTAATTCCAAATTTTCCTTTTCTTTTTCTCGTTCCCAATTCTCTAACTTTTTCTGAAGAGAAATGTCAAGAGAAGATTCTGATTCTTTCAATGTCTCACTTATTGAACTCTTAGAAGCCATGCAGCCAACCAGCCCTGTCAAAAGGGGAAGGCTATCTTTAACTTGTGTGTTATTCCAAACTTTGCAACCAACATCACAAGGTTTTGAACACTCGTGTTCATTTTCTTTATTATTAGATTCTAATTTTTTTTCTAACTTGATCTGTTCTCTAAATTGCCCATCACATTTCTCCCCTGCCAGTATTTTCAATCCTGATGGAAAGAGACCTTTCCTAATATCACCATTAAGCACTTTTGGCTTCTGATTGAGTGTGACAGAACCACTGTTGGTTCTAGCTTTATTGTTCTTTTTAACAGGAGGGTTCTCTGTACACAGTTCTTTATTTATAAGAGCAGTTTTCCGCTGGAATTGTTGCCTGTCTATTTTAAACATAGGTTGGTCCTCTGAAATGCTCTGACTAGTCACTAGTTTACTGTCCTTCCCTTTCTGAAACTTAGATTTAGCATTAGTAAATCTAGCTAAACCTTCTCCTCGTTTTAAGAATGGATGTTTTGGTTTTTCTTTGATTAGTAATGATCCTTCTGCTTCCTACAATAAGGAAGAAAATTTTAATTAATTCTGGTATATTTAAAGCAAATTAAACAAATCTCTAGTCTTAGATAATTTAATCCAATGCTAACCCTTAGCTGTTTCTGTTTCAATTCTTGTTCTTCCAACTGAATTTGTTCTTCCAAGTAGTCTTCAAATGTCTGTTTCCTTTCTCTAATAGCAGCTTTAATAGGCCTAATCATAAAAATAAAGTTATTTAACATGCAAATCATGACATGGTGAATATTTTACAATTAATGTGCCTGATACAGACTTTGGATTGCACTGAAAACTAACCTTTTTCAAAGTCACAAACCCCCCTCCTTGAAAAAAAATTTTTCAAGTTGAAAACCAAGATTTTATTTTTTAGAAATATATTTTTTTTAAATTCCCCAAAAAGATGCTATTCTCTCATTTCTCTCTTTTTTTCCTCTTCTTCAACACCCAATATAAAAGACATTATTTACTTTTATTAGATCTTCACCCAGGTGTCCCAACAAGGCTCCAACTATGTATTCTTCTATGTTTACAAGCTGTATTTTCATATAGCCATCTACAGATACAGGTAGATGTACTCCATTCCCCCTTAAGTTTCACCCATTCCTGGCTTTCCTGTTAATCCACTGAGGAAAGGTTCGGGACTGAGGGGCAAACTCATCTCAACAATAAGCAAATGTTGCAGGCTACTTGCCACGACCCCGTGTTATCCATCCCTCTTGAATGGAACATCACCCCCTTTAAAAATTTAATGAAAGCTACAATCCCACTCCATCCCCCAAATACAGAAATATACAATACTCTACATAATTTGAAAAAAAATCCTTCTGAAGTCCATTCATTACATAACTTTAAAATATTTCAAAAACAGTTCATTAAAGCACTAGCCGGTTTGGTTCAGTGGATAGAGCATTGACCTGTGGACTGAAGGGTCCCAGGTTCAATTCTGTTCAAGGGCATGTATCTTGGTTGCAGGCTCCTTCCTGGCCCAGGTCTTGATCTGGGCGCGTGCAGGAGGCAACCAATTGATGTGTTTCTCTCACATCCATGTTTCTCTGCCTTTCCCTTCCACTGCCTCTAAAAATCAATAGGAAATATCCTCAGATGAGGATTTTTTAAAATAGTTCATTATATACACATTTTTTTAATTTTAAAAGATTAACAATGTGCCCTGGCTGGTGCTCAGAGGTTAGAGCGTCAGCCTGCAAACCAAAGGGTTGAGGGTTCAATTCCAGTCAAAGGCATGTACCTCAGTTGCAGGTTCAATCCCCAGTCAAGTTGCATATGGGAGGCAGCTGATCAATGTTTCTCTCTCACACTGATGTTTCTTTCTCTTTCTCTCTCCCTCCCTCTAAAATCAATAAAAAGATAAACATTTTTAAAGTAATTTGCCCATCAATAACTTTTATCAAAAGATTTTCAAATATTTAAGAAAATAAACAACTTCAATACTGGCATTTTATGTCATAAAGTTTTTAAATTCTATAACAAGACTTACACAATTTTAATTCATATGTGAGACACCAATATTTAATGTGTTTTTCTTTTCTCCAAAATAAAATTTACCTATTTGAGAGAAAATTTTATCCAGATATTTGTTAGATGAGAAAACTTTGCCTAGTTCTTCCAATACAATATCAAAGCCACTAAAACTGATATATCCCCAAACCTCTTTCTGTTGCTGACAGTATGTGATAAGTTGTATCTTCAACTTTATATGTACTGGTAAAAGCATCTTCAAGAAAAAATAAGAAAACTATGGATCTTTCAAAAAAAGAAAATGCTCAATAATAATGACTGGCTATTATATTAAACTAGAGGTCCAGTGCACAAATTCATGCACCAGTGGGGTTCCTCAGCCTGGCCTGCGGGATCAGGCTGAAACAAGCTTTCTTTCATCCCCAAGGGGTCCCAGATTGCGAGAGGGCACAGGCCAGGCCAAGGGACCCCACCAGTACATAATCAGAGCCAGGGAGGGATGTGGTAGGTTGGCCAACAGAGGAGTTATGAGGGAAGGGCTCCAGGGTGTGTCTGGCCCATCTCGCTCAGTCCCAATCAGCCGGACACCAGGAGCAAGCTAACCTACTGGTTGGAGCGTCTGCCCCCTGGTGGTCAGTGCACATCATAGCTACTGGTCAACCGACTAATTGCCTCCTGCTGGTCAGTACATGTCATAGTGAACGATAGAGCAGTCTTAACATATCATTAACATATTATGCTTTGGTTGAAGAGATGACCAGACACTTAGCATATTAAGCATTTATTATATAAGATTATCACATGTCTTATTCCTTTTAATTCAGGTAGTACCTTTCTTCATTATTAACAACTTCTGAGGAATCATCAAATTTTTTTAAGTTCACAGCATTCACTTCACCTATCTGGTTTGTCATTTTCTCCCAACATGGTAAAACATCTTCACCTAAGATAAAAATTAGAAATAATTCAGTTTTTTTTTAAAGCATATTTAATTCTTAAAAGTTGAGAATTTTACAGGTTGCTAAGCTTAGAAAAAAAATGGTTAAAAGTAGGATATGCCAAAAAGTTCAGAACTCTCAAGGATTTCTTTAATATGATAAACTACAAAACCCTGCCTAGCCAGTGTGGCATAGTGGATTGAGTGGCCTCCCATGCACCAAGAGGTTGCTGGTTCAATTCCTGGTTAGGGCACATGCCCCAGTTGCAGGCTCCATACCCAGTAGAGGCCATGCAGGAAGTAGCCAATTGATGTTTCTCTCTCATCCATATTTTATCTCTCCTCCTCCCTTCCTCTCTCTCTAAAATCAATAAAAATATATTGTTTTTAAAAAGGAAAAGAAGAACTACAAATCCTAATTAAAACACAATATTCTTTTTTTTTTAATTGATTTTTAAAAAGAGAGGAAGGAAGAAGGCAAAAGAAACATTGCTTTTACGTTTTTTAAAAATACCTTTAAAAGGCCGAAACTGGTTTGGCTCAGTGGTAGAGCATCGGTCTGTGGACTGAAAGGTCCTGGGTTCGATTCCAGTCAAGAGCATGTACAAGGGCAGCTGGTCGATGTTTCTCTCTCATCCATATTTCTAGCTTTCTATCCCTCTCCCTTCCTCTCTGTGGAAAATCAATAAAAATATATATTTTTTTAAAATACCTTTAAAAGGCATTTTGAGATAATATGGTGAATTCTAAAATAGATTTGAATATTACATAATTATTGTTAATGCACCTGGGTATAATAATAGTATTATGGTAATATAGAAGACTGTCCTAATTTTTACTTGATGCATGCTGAAATATTTGAAATGCTATAATGTGTACATATTACTTGCAATGAAATGACTCAGCAAAACTATATATAGATGTAGGTAGATATATACATATATCCCACACACAAACAAATACAAAGTAAATATATTTATACACACAAAATAAATATTGGCAAATTATTAACTGCTAAATTTAGGTGGTAGGTATACTGGTAATCATTGCAGTGGTCTTTCAAGTTTTCTAGATGTTTGAAATTTTCCAAAATAAAAGATTAGAGGGTATACTGTATTGTGTAATTCCATATCAAGGAATTACTCTAAATTAGGAATAAAATATTATGCACACTACTAAGCAGTAAGCATAGATACCTCTTTGTCATATTATTTGTATTTTCCTAACTTAACTCAAAAGAATATATTCTTTTTTTCCTTTTTTTTTTAAATATATATATTATTGATTTTTTTTTACAGAGAAAGAGAGAGGGACAGAGAGTTAGAAACATCAATGAGAGAGAATCGTCGATCAGCTGCCTCCTGCATACCCCCCACCAGGGATGTACCTGCAACCAAGGTACATGCCCTTGACCGGAATCGAACCCAGGACCTTTAAGCCTGCAGGCCGATGCCCTATCCACTGAGCCAAACCGGTTTCAGCAAGAATATATTCTTGAAAATTAGAAATTAAATTTAAAATACTGAAAACAACTTAGTATCTCACAAAGAACATTACCTATTGATATTTTACTTAACTATTATAATGATGAAGTAATTAAAATTATCGTTATAAATATTATAGAATAAACCATAAGCATTTTCTATATTGAATGGAAAAGAACACAATTTATTATACAATATTCTATAATTACAAAATGTGATGTGGGGAGCAGAAAAAAGACTAGTGCCCTGGCCAGTGTTGCTCAGTATCTGTTAAGAGTGTTGGCCCACACATCAAAGGGCTGAGGGTTCAATTTTCAGTCAAGGACATATATCTGGGTTTCGGGTTCGTGGCTCATTCCCCATCCCCTGGTTGGGGCATGTGTGGGAGTCAACCAATTAATGTCCTTCCCTGACCCTGATGTTTCTTTCTCTCTCCCCTCTCCCCTCTCCCCTCTCCCCTCTCCCCTCTCCCCTCTCCCCTCTCCCCTCTCCCCTCTCCCCTCTCTTCTCTTCTCTTCTCTTCTCTTCTCTTCTCTTCTCTTCTCTTCTCTTCTCTTCTCTTCTCTTCTCTTCTCTTCTCTTCTCTCTGTTTCTCCTCCTCTCTCCCTCCCTCTTCATTTCCATCTCATCTCCCCTTCCCTTTTTCCCTTCTCCCTCTTAAGAAGCACTGGAAAAAATATCCTCTAGTGAGAATTAACAAAAAAGGCCAGAAAAAAAAATATTAGAAATCACACGAGAGCTCCATGAGTTTAGACCATGAGACACTTGAGTGCTAGTTCTGTGGCAAAAGTTGGGTGCTGGATATATACAGAGGAACTAGAGGCCCAATGCATGAAGATTCGTGCAAGAATGGGCCTTCCTTTCCCTGGCCGCCAGCACCACCTTCACTTCAGCCAGAGCTGCCTTTGTGCCTTCCCACTCTGCCCAAATGCCCAGAGTAGCTGGGGCTGTGTGGAACGCCTGCGTCCTACCCCACCCCCAGCTGCTCAGCACCTGCCTATGCAAATTAATCCACCATCTTTGTTGGGTTAATTTGCATACTCACTCCTGATTGGCTGGTGGACATCATGAAAGTACAGTCAATTTACATCTTACTCTTTCATTAGTCTAGATGGTGAAGACAAACCATGTGTCTGGGTTAAAGGGGATTTTTTGAGTAATAAGTCCCATCACCAACCTTTTTCTTGCATATTACATCTTCTGTCAAGTGTCCCCACCACTACATACATTTTAAATGAACTTCAAACTATTTCTAAGCTCTCAAAGAAAAATGGTTCAACAGAACTTTCTAACTTCCTTTTGTTAGTCCCCAGGCTGCCAAGCAAGTTTTGAAGTCAGCATGAGTACTGAGATTGCTCTTGGACAGTCACAAATTCTATGTCCGACTCTTCATCTAATTCAGGCTAGGTGACTGTGTAGCACACAGGATCTTCTTCTTGTTTTATGACAACTTGGTAGCACTCTTGGTTAAGTGAAGAGAGAAATATAACTCACCTTTAAGATAGTTATGGTTTTCTTCCTTCAAATCATTTTTTTTCACAAGTGTGATATTGTGCCTCATAAAACAAATTGGGAGAAGCACTACTTTTTGAAGTTAAGACAAAATCTTGATGAGCAGTTCTACAGAAGTTTTATTCATTGAACAAAATGTTGGAAGTGTATGTTTTTTCTTGGGTTTGATTCTGGTAGATATATGATGGTAAGAAGGGTTTGGGTTTCTCTATGGTGGCTGAACTTTCTGGAGAACTGTACTTCTGACTCTGATCATTAGGCAGCAGAGTTAAACCTTGCAATTAAGAAAATCAACAAACTGATGTCTCGCTGTAACATTTTCACTTATGCCTGTCAGTGATCCCACCACAAAATTTTCTCCAAAGTGATCAAGTATTTTTTCCTCCTTATAAGGAAAAAGTGTTTAACAAAACCATATAAACCTCAAATCATTTTAATTAAGAACATGTTTACACTATGATTCACATGCAGAGAGTGTGTACAAAGCTGCAGCACAGTCTAACTCTTATAAGGTACCACTCATGCACCAAATGTGAGCAGCACTCCTGGTGTCCTCAGCCCTGCAGTCCCATGACAAACACAGTCAGACAGCTTCAATGCAGATGGTTACAAATGATCGGAACTGTTCCTTAATGGTCATGCCCTGTGTTACGCATATAAAAGTATCTTCCCTTCTGATTACTGTTGACATTTTGGTGTCCTCAGGAAAAGAATTATGGGTGATTTTTCTGTTTTCTACTTTTCTGTAGTTTAAATTTCCTGTATTATTATTCTCCTGTTTTGTTTCTTAAATCTGTGCTTTTGAGATAACCCAGTCAACAGAGAGAAGATTCCCCATGTACTTATCTCTTGGAGGTTAGATGACAATAGCCCCTTGACATCCTGTTACTGCCCCTTTATTCTCTAGTTGTCTCAATTAAATTTAGAGTGAGCTTAAGATGGAAAATGTTTTATAAAAGAGCCATGCCACTTACTTACCTTACTACTAGCCCACAAATAAAACTGGACATCATGTAGATCCTTATTAAATATCAGGTTCAACTTCCCTTCCTTTATAACAATACTCTCTCCATTTAAATATTCTTGATTCTTAATGGTCATCCCCCTTCAACCTGAACATATCACTGATAAAAGAGCAGTATCCCAATGCAGCATATGGTCTATAAATCCTGGATGTCTCCAAGACTCTTTCAGGGCATCAAGCACCAGGTTAAACTATTTTTATAAAATATTAAGACAGTATTTGCATGTTTCACTGTGCTGACATAGGCACTGATGGTGCAAAAGCAAAGTGGAAACTCCTGGTGGCTTCGCTCAAAAGCGGACCTTGGGACACAACTGTACCATCAATCACTGTATTATTCATCACCATGCACTCACAGTTTTTTCAAAAAGTTTTCACTTAAGAATTCACACAAGCTGAGCCTCCTTAAACAGATGGGAATGCTCTTTTAAAAAAAAAATTTTTTTAGCTTCTCCTAAATAAGTTCAAAGTGCAGGGGTTCTTGATCCAGCATTAAGAAGGGTTCAGCAATCTGGAGAAAGGCTGTGTATAGATTAAATAAGAGACCTGAAATGAAAGATAATTTTGAAAGGCATTGGAGGTCAGAGGAGCCTGACTGAAGAAGCTAAATTCTTCCTTATCTTAGGACCCTTGCTTTTTATTGACACAAATTGTCCTAAAGCAAGGTTGAGATAATACACTTCAAAGGGTTTCTTACAAGAAGCACTGTCAGATTGGGGAACAGCCTAAGGCTATTCAGATGTTTGACCAACAGGAGGCAATAACATGTAGATTAAAATGCTCAGAGCTGTCTGGCAGCAAACAATCATCCTATTCAGATTTGGGGGGAAAGCCTTTCAGCCATTCCAGCAGGTGATTACATACGTGACTCAACCCTTTTTGAGTTTCCCAAGTTCAATCAACCTTTTGATGAAATTCTTGCAATTATGACATGCTAAAATTGGTTTCCAGCACAGTTTCTCTTCAGCACTCCCAAACTAGTTCTGCTCTACACATGCACTAGTCACCCACCAGCAGAAGCAAAGGGTTCCTGGAAAGCAAAGAAATCTACTCTTTGGGGACAGGGATTAATCCCATAACCCATGCCCTGGACCAAGAATCAAACCCAAAATCTTTTAGTACATGGGCCAACATCCTAAACATTGAGCAACACAAGCCAGGGGAGGGAGCTATATTCTTTATTAGTGTGCGATCCCTTGATGCATCCAGCTCTCCCCTTTCTCCTTTCCCTCTAGTTTGTTTTCAGTAAACTCCTTCTTTTGCATCTGTTTTGCTTCCTCACTTGATTTTTATCTTGGGGGAGGGGCAACAAGAATCCAGTCAGTGCTGACATCCAAAATCACTAAACTACTCTTCATCTGCTACACTGGTCATCCTTACCACTCTCATCACTTCCCTAATCCCAGCCAATCACACCCTGCACACTCATTAGCCAATGTCTTTTGTTCTTTGTATTCTCAATGCCCATGCAACCTCTAAACACAATAGGCACTGTCCTGAAGCAGTGAAGCATGGCTCTTCAAAGGTAGCACCAAGCAGACACACATTGCTCCAGACCACTGCTTTTCAAACTGTGGGACACAATCCATTAATCATTTTATCATCAGATGCAACAGGTCAGGACTGGCTTTGTATGTTTTTAACATAGAATAGAATAAATAAAATAGAAAATATTCTTGTTACATGCCAGGCTCACTAATAAAGACTGATTTATGTAATTTCTTTGAAATTTTGAGTCATGATTTAAAATGTTTTTGTTCCTATGAAGAATGACCAACAAACTTTCAAAACCACTGCTCCAGACACATTTCAACAGACTTTTCCCCTGATAAGCACTTCATGCTATCCACTGATTGAACACAGAATAAAATAATTCATAGAAAAAATATTTCTGGTACGGTTCTTTAGCTGAGTAGAGTGCTTTCTCTTTATTTACTTAGAGATCTATGTATTTATATTTACCTCTATGATACAGAGTAGTTATTGTAAACTAGGAGCCCTAGACCAACTTTGGCTCTAGATCTTTTTTAAATTTTATTTTATAAATAAATGTGAATATTTTTAAGAACACATATGCTCCAAAACGGCACAGCTTTCACTTGTCCTATTTATACTACACCACCACTGTTTCAGGTATCTTTGCAGCCTCTAAGGAAACTGGAGTTTGCAACATATGAAAGAGAATAATACCCTGTTTCCCCAAAAATAAGACAGTGTCTTATATTAATTTTTGCTCCCAAAGAAGCACTAAGTCTTATTTTCAGGGGATGTCTTATTTTTCCATGAAGAAGAATACAGTACACATTTATTGTTAAATGAAAATAAAGGAAATTTATTACTTGTATACGGTATGGTAGTACGATAGTTGTCAACACAAACCAGACAAACTGAATCCTACAGTATCAAGAATTTACTCATTTATTCAATGACAATCATGTCATCATCTTCTGGAACATCATCATAACAATCCAATTCCTGAATTTCCTGGTGAATTTCTTGTGACTCCATTTCTTTCACAATCAGTGGACCAAATCTCTCATGTTTAGCCTAGGAGGGGCCTTATTTTTGGGGGGATGCCTTATATTTCACTCAGAAGGAAACCTGTAAATAGGTCTTATTTTCGGAGGATGTCTTATTTTCGGGGAAACACGGTAGTAATAATCTGTCAATTCAAATTACAAATATGTATAACTGTCAATCATTGTACTAATTGGAGACCCCATGTAAGCAAAAAGTACCTGGGAGTGTGTGCTGCCCCGACACCATAGTGAGCAGCTTCTCTTGCTCTTCCTTAAGTCTTTGCAGTTGTTCCATCTGTTGCCTCTTCAGTTGTTCCTGCTTCTTCTGCTGCACCTCTTTCAGCTTTTTAAACATAAAATTAACTTATTAAACTAACTTTACTTTTTTTATGGACCTTCACTCCTTACCTTTATCTTAATCCCTCCCATCTCCCTTTTTATCTTTCCTAATAAAGAGTTAAAAAAAAAAAAAAGTTTCAAAGAGGGATCCCTAAGTAACTAAATCTGCCACCAAAACTCTAAAACCAATTTCTTATGGTGGAAATCATATTGATTCTCTCAACTAAGAAACAGAAAAAGTCATAGAAGTCCTTTGATTATTAAAATAGGATAGGTACATTTATGATCAAGCATTTTCCCCTAATATTTGATCAACAATTTCTAATTTAGTTTCTACCAAATGAGGTAGAAACTTGAAGATATTATCTGAAAATGTTATATTTGTCTTACATATTAAACATACTTTAATGTTTCACATTAGACAAAGGCAAAATCTGGTATTTTGAGCATTTCACACCGAAGGGGAAGAAACAAGAGAATCTGAAACTGGTGACTTTCATCATAGACAAAAACCTGCAATAACACAAATATATATTTGGCCAAGTCCTGGTGTACCTGTTCAAGCTTTTTAAAAAGTGGGTCTTTATAAACCACTTCTTTGCATTCACTTGCAAGATCTGAGATAAAGTCACTCTTATTATCTTCCCAGTGTCCTGGAGCATCCTGACATGCCACTGGTTGTGGTCCTTTTTTAGGCAAAGGAAAAAATATATGTGTTTCAGATTTATCTGATTGTAATCTGTATGGGCTGTTAGACTCCAACTTCTGTTCTTCATGAAGTGAATCTTCTTTACTTATAAAGTTCAAGCTATTTGAAAAATGTGTGGCTTTAACAGGAAAGCTGGTGGAAATGTTCACATTTGTTCGCTTTTCTTCATCTGCTTCCAAAATAGGAAATCCATGATTTAATATGACTCCAGCCCGAGAAGGATCAGTCACCCATTGGGTTAGGAAGTTCTGCCTACTGTTCAACTCTGAAGAAGTTGGTATCAGGAACATTTTAGTCCAATTTTCTACTGTACTTAAATAATGTAAAAACTAGAAAAACTATTAATTTCCAATACCTGTAGAAGACAGCCAACAAAAAGTATTAAAAGATATTCTCTCCAAACCTTGACCCAGCACAAAAAAACATACTCAATATTTCATATGCAAAAGACTCCAGCAAAGCAATTGGCATTACACTACAAGTTTTTTGAAGTGTCTTAAATATCCAAGTTCAGTGGATAAAAATTGAAGTTTCCTTCTCATTTCATCCTTCTGACGACTTTATACAAATGCCAAATCATGTGACCTAAAATTATGGGAGCTAAGCCATCTTCTAAGTTATTTGATTACCAAAGGAAAAAAAGCCACTCAATATAAAACACCCATATTAAACACTTTCTTGCCTCTGGCCCTAGTACAACATTGCTTCTTTGCACAACTGGGGAACCCATGCTCTCCCAAATCCCAGGACAAAAGTCACCATCCCCCATGGCTTTACCTGGCATGGTTTCCTAATGCCCCTTACATCCTAACCACTCACTCACTAAGCAGTCCTCATCTGAATGCCTAGGGGTCTCTGTCAGTACTATTTTGGCATTCATCCCACTTCAGGGAGTCCTCAGGTTACATTGGACTCGACGTACGTCGTTTCGTGGTTACATCGCCACCTCCCATTTATTTCTAAAAAAAAAAAAAAAAAGTTCTGTTATTTTGACATACTATGTACATATGTGCTTTAAGTTTTTATTATTTACTACAAGTAAAAATCAGGAATTGTTGTCTTTCTTTTAATTTTTTTTTTTTTCACTGTTTCACCTCATTATTCCTGTGTATGTGCTCCATGTGAGTGAAGTAGGTGCTTATGTAGGTGGGTTCTGACTTACGCGTGCACCATAGGAACAGATCTCTGACGTAACCCGAGACCTACTGTATTAGTTGTATTTTGCTTCTGTATTCATAATCTACCCAGCCATGAGTTCCTTAAAGATATCTGTATATTCACCACTGCCTAGCACCATCCATTCCCGGCAGAGAGAAGAAACTTGATAAGTGTTTGTTAAAATTAATTTAAATTAAATCACAACTAAGGTTAAATTATTGAAAATAAATTCAGTATTAAAAGGTACTAGACGCCTGGTGCACGATATTCATGCACAGGTAGGGTCCCTAGGCCTGGCTGGTGATCAGGGCTGATCGGGGCCACTGGCTGCCAGCCATGGCCTTCCTCTGTTACGTGCCACCCCCTGATGATCAGCGCACATCATAGCAAATGATTGAACTCCTGGTCTCCCGGTTGAACTCCTAAGGGGACACATTGCATATTAGCCTTTTATATATATATATATATAGAAGATTACTTGTGTTCATTAAATGTTCAACAATAAAGATAGCCCAGCTGGTGTGGCTCAGTTGTTGAACATCAACCTGTGAACCAGGTGGTCAGTTCGATTCCCAGTCAGGGCATATGCCCGAGTTGTGGGCTCAATCCTAAGCAGGGGGCGCAGCACGCAGAAGGCAGCTGATCAATGATTCTCTCTGATCATTAACGTTCCTTTTTTTTTTTTTGTCAAGAAAAACAATTTTAAATATGACAATGTTACATGCAATAAACATTAATATTTCAAGAAAAACAATTTTAAATACAATATTACATGAATAAACATTAACATTTCAAGAAAAAGATTTTAAATATAATATTACCAAAACTGTACTAACATGGTATATTAAAAAGTTGTAAGAAATATTAAAAGTAATTGATGTTTCTATTTCTCTCTTCCTCTCCCTTCCTCTCTGAAATCAATTAAAAAAATATTTTTTTAAAAAAAAACAGTAAGAATAGGATTGGTTCATACCATAAGACAGCTACTCTATATGAATCCTACTTAAAATAGCCAATTTCCTAATGCAATAAATTAAATGGGACATCACAGAGAACATAACTGTTCCTCCTTTGTATGTCTGATTTTTCTTACCAGCATTCATTTTCTTACTCTGTGCCAGATACTGTTTTAGGATGATTATATGGAAGTTAATAATTCAGTCCAATCTAGTGGTGAAAATACACACAAAAATTAACTGTACAATATATTAAGTAATAAGTATTAAAGATAAAAATAAAAGCCATGTGGAGGAAGGAGAGTGCACATTTTAGATAGTGTGAATAGGATAAAATTAAGGATCTGGCAGAGAAGGAGTGGGTAGTGCAGCTATAAGGGACAAAGTAAGGCCCAGCCATGTGGACTTTAGAACCTTTATCTGCAAGATGCCCCACCAATGCCCTTTCCTCCAGAATCCCACCAGCTTTCACAGTCCCATCACCACTATCCCACCTTGAATTTTCTAGGATTAATCTCTTTATGTGTTAAAACTTAATTTACATCATTTTTCGTTAGGAAGACTGAATCCCAAGCCACCCTTTATCTCATATGCTAATCTCCACACACATGCTTTATTCTGTCTCCATCTCCCAATTATCTTCAATGCTAAAACACACACTGTCTACCACCAGCAAAATCTCCTATTATCCTTACTTCTTCTCTGACCTTCCTGAGAACATGTCTCCCTATGTGCCCATACCCTAATACCACTGATCTGGAATTAGATAATGTGTTTTCCTTTTTGTACTTTTTTGTTTTTAGACTATACTCTCTTTTCTCCACCATAAAAAAAACACACCCAATTCCAACCCTCCTTTTGGCCCTACAATCTTCCAATAATTCCCAAAAATGACAAACACAAAGGGAAAGTGGAGAGGGAAAGGGAAAGAGAACTATATGTTCTCTAGACCTTTAGGAAAATAAGGGAGTTGTTCCTTTGGCCACATACATGCAAATCTATAAGAAAGATGGTACTCTACACATCAAGGTAATGGGCACCGCTCAAAAGGAATGCCCCAGCCCTGGACAGTGTGCACAGTTGTTAGAGCATTTGCCCACGCACCAGAGAGTCACGATTTGATTCCTGATCTAGAACATGTACAAAGGTTCCGGGTACAATACCCAGCCCCAGCTGGGGCATATATAGCAGGCAAGCAATCGATGCGTCCCTCTCACATCTCTCTCTCTCTCCCTCTCTCTCTCTCTCTCTCTTTCTCTGTCTCCCTCCTCCTCAATCTGCCTTCCACTCTCAAAATCAATGGAAAAAAATATCCTTGTATGAGGATCAACAGGGGGAGAGGGAGGGAAAGAATGCCCCATAAATGTTATCATGGGCATTGTTATAAATAAAGAAGTTCAGAATAATGATGGCAAAGATATAAACAGCATGAGGAAAAAATACAGTAAATATGAAGAATGGCACAGCATTAATAAAGAACATGGTGGAAGGAATACAGAGAAGATTAGAAGCCGGGGATCGCATCAGTGAGTTAGAAGACAGGGTAGAAAAAAAAATTCAGAAAACCAAAAAGAAAAAAAACAACTAAAATACAGGAGAAGAGCTTAAGGAAGCTGCAGAGACAACCTGAAATGTAACAATATTCACATAATACATATGCCAGAAGGGGAAGAAAATGAGCCAAAGGATAGAGAATATGTTTCAAGAAATAATGGCAGAAAATTTTCCTACCCTGGTGAAGGAAAAAGTTACACAAGTTTAGGAGGCACAGAGTCCCAAGCAAGAAGAATCCAAACAAGACCATGCCCAGACACATCATAATTACAATGACAAAAATTAAAGACAAAGACAGAACCTTAAAGGCAGCAAGAGAAAAGCAAATTGTTCAAGTGCACAAAGAATCTCTGTTAGCTGATATCTTATCAGAAACTCTACATGCCAGAAGAGAAAGGCATAAGGTATTCAAGGTAATGAAAAGCAAGTATCTGAAATTAAGATTACTATATGAAGCAAGGCTATCATTCAAAATAGATAGTGAAATAAAAAAAAGTCCCAAACAAAAAAGACTAAAGCACTTTGTTACCACTAAATAAGCACTGCAATAAATGCTAAAGAGACTGCTATAATAAGAAATGAAGAAACAGGCATACAGAATTAAAAGGCAATAAAGAGTAACTATCAATAACTGAAATGTAAATGGATTAAATGCTCCTATCAGAAGACACAGAGTAGCAGAATGGATAGCAAAACATGACCCAATTACATGCTGAGTACAAGAAACCCACCTCAGAACAAAAGACTCAAACAGAATGAAAGTGAACAAATGGAAAAAAATCATCCATGCAAATGGAAAAGACAAAAAGGCTGGAATAGCAATACTCATATCTGACAAAATAGTATGAAGAACTGAAGGCCATCAGAAGAGACAACAAAGGTCATTACATAATATTAAAGGAATCCTATATAATAAAAGGCTAATATGTAAATTGCCCCCTTGAGAGTTTGACCAACCTGGAGTTCAACCACTTATGATGTACGCTGACCACAAGGGCGGTGCAGCAGCCAGGAAAGAAAGGCCCTGGACAGCGGATGGCAGCCAGCGGCCAGGGGAAGGAAGGCCCCAATCGGCCCTGATAGCTGGCCAGCCTTAGGGACCCTACCTGTGCATGAATTTCATGCACCAAGCCTCTAATCAATCCAATAGAGGATATAATCTTGGTACACATATATGCACATAATACAGGACCACCTAAATATATTTAATAACTTCTAGAGAAATATGAGAATGATTGACATTGGTACAGTTATATTAGGGAACTTGAACACCCTGCTGACTTCCAAACAAAAAATTAACAAGGAAAGAGTGACTCTAAAGGACACACTTAATCAGATGGGTTTAATTGACATTTATAGAACATTTCACCCCAAAGCTGCTTAATATACATTATTCTCAAGTGCACATGGATCATTCACAAAGATAGATCACGTTAGGATATAAAACAAGTCTCTCTACAAGTTCAAGAAGATTAAAATAATATCAAGCATCTTCTCAGATAATAAATTAATGAAATCAAAAATCAACTACAGTAAAAGCAATCAAAAACACAAAAACACATGGAGGCTAAATAGCATATTATTAAACAATGAATGGGTTACCAATGAGATCAAGAAAGAAA